AGGACAAAGAGGAAATTCTGATTAGCAGGAGAGGACTGGATGAAGAGCCAGCAAAGGAGACTGAGGACCAGCTAGACAAGTCTAAGAACCAGGACAGAACAGTGAAACAAAAACCTGGATAGAAGAGGGTATGAATGAGAAGTACAAAAGGATGCAGGAGATTGAGGACTGAGAAAAGGCTAATTAGATTTGGCAATTAAGAGATCACTGGTAACTTTGAAGACAGCAATTCACTTTGTTAAGGTAGAATGTGGTCACAATCATGACAGTGCTAGAAGTCTCCAAAGTTAAAATTCTCCTTTAATATATATATATATATACACACACACACATACACACACACACATAATAAATATCGAATATACTGCTAAATTCATGAAACAAATGAAATAATCCCTGTATATATAATGCCCTGCAATATTTTTCTTCAAATGTATATAAGTATTTTTAAAAATCTGAATAGCTGTTAAAAGGATTTACTTTGAAAAATCCCCTCTCCCTCAAAAACACAACTATAATATGACTTATACACAAGCCATATCTTACTTATTCTTTAAACATTTTAAATCAATGCAAAGTTTACAAATTATGTGCATAATACCAACAAAGGAATTATGGTTCTCTCAAAAATCAGAGTTAGAGCAACAAAATAGAAAATATATCTCTTACAATCCACTCACAATGCCAATAAAACTGACAATCTAAATGAAAAGGATGAATATTTACAGAAAGATAAAATGTCCATATTAACAGAACAGGAGATAGAGAACTTAAATAACCTAATTTAGAAAAATAAATTGGACAAACCATAAATGAATCCACAAAGAAAAAATACCCCAGGGACTATATGTATTAACAGAATTCTACCAAGCATTATTAGTTCCAATATCACACAGTTTTTAAAAAATAGAAACAAAAAGAGTTCTATCAAATTCCTTCTATGATACAAATAAGATATTTACAAATAACCAAGGAGAGTAAAAATATAAAAAGAAAACTGTAGGCCAGTATCCCTAATGAATATCGATCCAAAAATTTTAAATAAAACATGCCAGGAAACTACAGCAACATATCACAAGGATGATACACTATGACCACATTGCATTTATATAGCAATGCACAGCTTGTTCAATATTAAGATAACTATAACTGGCTATATTAATAAAAAGAACAACAAAAATAATATGTCAACAGATATAGGAAAAGCTTTTGACAAATTCAATAATCATTCCTGTTAAGAGAAAGAGAGGAAGAGAGAGAAAAAACAGAGATAAATGAATCTTTCCTTAATATAAGTAATATCTACCAAAAACCAAAAGAAAGTAACTAGAGCTTTTCCAATAGTTAAAGCGTAAAGTAAAGATTTCTGTCATCATCATTCCTATTCAATATAGTACTAGAAAAGGGATGACAAGATAGCAGAGTAGTAAGAAAGCAGCATAACAAGTTTTACCCGCCACTCCTCCCAAAGAGATCTACGAAGTATACCAGACTGAATCCTACTAGGGAAATACAAGAAAAAGTCACAGTGAGTCATTTTTCCATCCAAGTTTGGCATAGGGAGACAGAAAGACTGGCAGACAATACGGATAATATCTAGTGCACAGCACTCTCAGCAAAGAACACCCTAGTGCCCCGGGAAAGGCTGTGAATTAGGGGAAGAAGGGGTCCCAGACCTATACCAGGCCACTCCTAGACCCACACTACCCCACATTACAGCAAGGACACATGCATGCTAGCAGCTTTTACGATGATAATTTTGATACCCCTACTCAAATTCATCAACATTTATTCGGTTTATTGTTATCTGATGGGTATTAGTGACTGTATTAGTAAATTAAGCAGAATAAAGTTTAAGGTAATTATGTTACTTGATGCTATTAGGATATGAGTTATGAATGACTGATTAATCTACCATGTAATTATATTAATTCTATTTCACTTATCAGCTAGATTCACACTCTTAGAAATGTAATAAGAATGTAAATGTTCACTATCCCTCCACCGCCACTCTGTAATGGGTTGTAATAAGGCCCATTTGCTGGTGCAATACCCCTTCACCCCTATGAATCGCTATTGTCTACTCCCTAGTGATCTTTGCTTCAAACCTACAACTTCCTTGAACTCTAGGATACTGGTGGTCAAACATTAGGGTTTTATTTCTTGTGGAAGGCCTTGAGATGTTGAAAGGGTCTTACGACCTTTGGAAAGCCCCTAGAGTTGATGCTCTGTGGAAGGTCTGTTGACAAAGTGGTTATGATTGATGGACATTTCTCTTAGCCAATCAATGTACTGCAGTACCTTATTCTATTTATAGTAATCCCTCAAATTGTAGAAATCCCTCAAAATAAAGCAGAGGGGTTCATAACTGCAGAGAGGTGAGTCTACAATCCAATTTCTTAAGGACTCCCAGACTCCCTAATGAACTGAATCTGCTCAGAGTGCTTCGGTGTCCTTTTGTTGCAGATTGGAATTATGGGGTCATACTTTGTTGCTCATTACCTAGTCTGACACATAACCATGAAGGAATGATGCGGAAATATGTGCCTGCTTCCTCCCCCCTCAGCAGTCTCAGGCTGGTAAACCATGGAAGGAACAAATTCAAAAGCAAGCAGCAGCTGTGTGGATCAGACCCCAGCAGCAGAGCAGAGTAGCACTTCTAGACTCTAGCCCTGTCTTAATCCTACAAAGGAATAATCAGAACAGCAATCCTAGACATAAAGAAGCTTGCAGTTCTGTCACTCTGAACAGTAGAGCTAGCTAACAGTCAGAGTCCAGCAACAATCCATCGTTCCTCAGATCCAAACTAAGGTCAAGGTCAGAGCTCAGAAAAGGGGAGGGGAGGGAAGGGGGTGTGTCCCGGCAGGAATCAGACTTTGCTGTGGACTAGACTACTTTGGTAGCTGAAGGTCTGGATTCAATACACCAAGAAGCAGCAAAAGACCAGTTCCTACAGCTTGACTATAACAAGTCTGTAACAAGGGTTTTCTTTTTCCTTCATTCTCAAAGGAGAGGAAAGAAAGGAGGGGAGTATGTATTGGGAGGGACAGAGAAAAGAAAGATTTTTGCTAACTGAAAAAACAAAAAATATCGTGCTAGAATGTTAAGTATAGCAATAAGACACACACACAAAAAAAGATTCCGAGAGAATAAGCATGAACAATGAGGAAACAAAATATCCTTTTTTGCAGGTGATATGATTGTTTACTTAAAGAACTCTAGAGTCAATGAAAAAACTAACTGAAAAATTTAACAACTTCAGCAAAGTTGCAGGACAGAAAATAAGCCCGCATGAATCATCAGCATTTATGTATACCAAACAAACTCTAGCAGGAAAAGATAGAAAGTCACTTTAAAGTAACTACAGGTTGTATAAAATACTTGGAAGTCTACCTGCCAAGAAACACTTAGGAAATGTAGGAAAACAATCAGAAAACACTCTTCACACAAATAAAGACAAATCTAAATAATTGAAGAAATATTAATTATGAGTAGGCCAAGGTATTATAATGAAGGTTTAATACCAATCCTAAATTAGTTTATTTATTGAGTGCCATACCAATCAAACTACCAAAGGATTAGTTTCTAGAACTAGGAAAAATTATAATAAAAGTCATCTGGAGGAACAAATGACCAAGAATAAAGAATAAATGAAAAAAATGGGAAGGAAGGGGGCCTCACAGTTCCAGATCTAAAACTAAACTAAAAAGCTACATCAATACAATTTGCTACTGTGAAGAAACTGAGAGGCTGATCATGGAACAAATAAGGAACATAATACATAGAAGGAAATGAGTACAGTACTCTGATGTTTGATAAATCCAAAGATCTCAGCTATCAGGGCAAGAACTCACTATTCAACAAAAACTGGTGGGAAATTTGAAAAGCAGTCTGGCAAACACTAGGTATAGATCAACATCTCATATCATATACCAAGACAACCTTCAAATGGGTGTATGACTTAAACATAAAGAGTGATATTACAAAAAGATTAGAGGACGAAGGAAGAAATTACCTGTTAAATTTATGCATAAAGGAAGAGTTCATGACCAAACAAAGTCAGAAAATGTAAAATATATAATTTTTATTATGTAAAATAAAACAGATTTTGCACAAAAATAATTCAGCTAAAAATAGAAAAGAAGCAAGCAAATGGAGAAAAAAATGTTTGTGGCAAGTTCCTCAGATAAAGGTTTCAAATAACAACAATCTTATAAATACAATCTACTTAGAAAGTCTTAAGAACTCTGCTCAACACAAATGATCAATCATAATTCCAAAGGACCCATGATGGAAGTCTATTTACCTCCTAATAGAGGTGCGATAGATTTAGAGTGCAGTTTTGGTTGGGTTTTTTTTTTTTGGGGGGGGGGTTGGACAGGGCCAACGGGTTAATTTGTTTTGCTTTATTATTCATGTTTAAAACTTACAATTTTGGTATCTGTAAGAGAAAACATCACTGTAAAACAATATAAATATATGTAAACCAATTACTTAAACACAAGTTCCAGTACTGCCAATTACAGTTACTCTTATATTAAATATCTCATATTCCACAGAAAAAATGAAGGACATCAAGGCAGGAAAAATATAAGTATCAAATACGCATTGAGAAGTAGGGTGGCTTACTGGATGGATAAAGAGCCAGCTTCAGAACCAGAAAGATCTACATTCAGTTCTTGCCTCCTACATATTATATAGCTGTGTGACTCCAGTCAAATCTTTCCATATTTCAAGGCTCTAGCAAAACTTCTAAGAAAGTAAGTTGCAGCGAAGATTACAACCTGCATTGGTAGGATTTAATTTCCTCATCTGGGAGTTCCATACACCAATAAAATCATAGTTCCAGTACTCAGTTTTATATCAAGCTTTATTTCACAAAACTCCCATATTCTGGAACATTAATCAATATATTGATCACCCTCCACTCCACCCCCACTCCGGCAGCCTTAGCAATCACTTTCTCTGGTTATTACCAGTGAAGACCACTGCTCACTTACCATAGATGTAACTGATCTAGCATCTTCTTCATAATTGAAGACGGGAGGTGGCTCTTTTCCCTCATTCTCTTGTACTTTTTGTTCTAGGAGTTCTTTCTGGGCTGTGAACTTAGACTCAGCACATCTTAACTGTTGGACTGACTGCTTTAGCTCTTCTAATGCCTGTTTTTGGCTCAGCAGAAGCACAATACTAAAAGATAGCAAATAAAACACAAATGATTTCAAAACAATTATGCTGAAGATTATAGCCATGCCACAGAGGAAATATGAGAATCTTTATAAAACATAGAGCTTTAAAAAGCAATCAGTAGGGATGCATTAAGTCTCTATGCACCAGGCTCTGGCAATGCAAACACAAAGATTTAAAACAATCCTTACTTACAAGGAACATATATTCTAAGGGAAGAGATTAAAGTCACACACACACACACACACACACACACACACGTGCATGCATAAAGATACATAAAATAAATATAAAGAGAATCAATGCAAAGTAGTTAGGAAAAGCTTCAGATACAAGGTAGTGCCCAAGCTGGGGTCTCAAGGAAGACAGTCATGTGGAAGAGGATGGGCATTCTTTCTAGGTATGGGGGATAACAAAGTATAAAGACAGAGAGGAGATAACCTCCTCTGAGAAACAGAGAGGTGGTTAGTTTGGTTGAATCACAGAGTAAGGAAGGAAGAGTAATGTACACTGAAAATGGAAGGACAGGCTGGAGCCAGGTAACGAAGTGCTTTAAAAGCTAAACAGAGGGGTTTATATTCAACCCTAGAAACAACAGGAAGCCACTGGTGTTTATAGAGCAGAGAAGTGAAAAATCACTTTGAGGGAGAGAGAACAATTAAGATGCCATTGCAATAATCTAAGCAAGAGGAGATCAGGGCCTAAACCAAGGTTGTAGTTGTATGAGTGGAGAGAAAAGGTTGGATTCAAGACATGTTGAAGAGGCAGAAATTTGGCAAATGATTAAATATGTGAGGTAAGAGAAAATGAAGCATCCAGAATAATTCAGGTTATAAACACAGGAAATGGAAGAAATGGTAGGAAGTCAGGAAAAGTGGTAAATTTGAAGAGAAAGACAATGAATTTTCTTTAGGACATTTTGAGATCGAGATGTCTCTTGGATATTCAGTTTCAAATATCCAACACGCAACTGGTGTGGCAAAACTGAAATTCAATGGATATTTTGGGGCTGGATATAGAGATCTGAAAATCATACGCATAAACATAATAATTAAACCCAAGGGAGATGATTAAATCAAAAATGAGATTAGCTGTAATGCAAATGATGTTCCTTTAAATATCTAAACTAGAAGAGGAAGGAGTTTCGAAATCAGCTGAGGCTTAATTAAAATCTAAAGCTCCTGTACATATACTCATCCCATAAATTCTTCTAATCATCCGCATAAACCATCACTTAAACTACCTATCCCTGCTAGCTAGCGATCATGCTATATCTTTTCTCCTTGAAAAGGTCATCTACAATCAATGCCTCCACTTCCCCTCCTCTCACTGTCTTAACTCCATGTAGTCTGGCTTCTGACATCATCATCCAAATGAAACTCCCCTCTCCAAAATTACCTATAATCTCTTAACTGCCAAATCTAATAGCCTTTTCTCAACCTTCATCCTTTTTGACCCGTTTGCAGGCTTTGATATTGTTGATCACCTTCTTTTCTAAGATACTCTCTCCTCTCTAGGTTTTTGTGACATTGCTCTGTCCTGATTCTCCTCCTACCTGTCTGATCACTCTTCTTTTCTCACTTTCAGGACTGAACATATCCTCAAGTCTTGGTTGGCTCAGAGGACAAAAGATTACAGATGTTGACATTTCCTGGTTGTTTGAGTACAAAGAAGCCATAAGGAATTCCAGAGTCATGCCAATGCTTGGGTGGTAGGTTGGTAATATGGGTAAGGAAGCTTCATTAATCTGAATAAAATGAAAGTATCAATGCCTATCTTTTCTGAATATCCTTCTGCTATGACTAAGTAAAAGTCTTTTTGTTAACTGCTGAATGACTTAAAAGTGTCTCAAGCTGTTCTATCAAACCAAAACTAACAAAGGATGGTTCTGAGTCAGTATGTGTCTATGAAGTATCCTCTATTTAGAAAGTAAACTCCAGGAAGGCAGAGATTATTTCATTTTTGCCTTTGAATCTCTGGTACTTAGTTCAGTGCTTAATGAATTTAAATGATTAACTGGTCCTCCTTTACCCTAGATTCTATCTTCTAAATTCTATCTTTAAAGATGTTAAGTTGGATGGTGGTTATTCACATCATTCTCTTCAGGCAGTAAGGTAGCATGGTGGACTGCTGGACATGAAGCAGTTGAAGATGAGTGTGAATCCTCCCCCAGAAACCTAGGAGCTGTGTGATCCTAAGCAACTCACTGAACCTTTCTTAGGCTTAGTTCCCTCATCTGTAAAATGATAAAATAATAACTCCTACTTCACAGGGTTTTATGAGGTTCAAATAATGTGATGCATGTAAAAGACACTGTAAAACATAAAAAGTGAAATATAAACACAAACTATTATTATTAAGACAAACACCATTTTTCTTCCTCATTGGAATGTTTTACAGATCAAAGCACACTTTTTTTAAACTTTCTTCAATTTCCTTGGGGTTGGTTTTTTTTGGTCTGCGTTTTCTTTCACAACATGGCTAATATGGAAATATGTTTTGCATGACTATGTATGTATAATCTATATCAAATTGCCTGCCTTCTCAAGGAGATGTGAGAGAAGGGAGGGAAGGAGGGAGAGAATTTGGAACTCAAAATTTTTAACAATGAATGGTTAAAAATTGTTCATATACATAACTGGAAAAAATATTTTTAAAAAATTTTAAGGAATCAAGAAAGCAAAAGAACCCAGGAGTCTAAACAGAAAGTCAAACAGGAAAGAGAAAGGCCAAGATATGCTATGATAGTTGAAGAAGCTCGTTAATAGGTAAACCTTGCTACCTTATGGTTAGCTATTTTCATCTCTGTCCTAATCTGCCTGGTGAGGGAGGGTGGAGGATATGATAAGAAGATATCAGGATGTCATGGGAAAAGCATGGAATTTGGAGCCAGAAGACCTAACTGGTTATGCTACAAACTACCTGTGTTAACCTGGGTAAGTCACAACATCCACAGCTTCAATGTGCTACTCCATAAAATAAGGGAGACAGACCAGACAATCTTAAGATTACTTCAAGTTCAAATCCTATGATCCTATTGCAGTAGACAATCGCTCCTCACCAGGAAAGGCCTAGAAGTATTCTAGTGACAACAACTAGTCAACTGGCCTGGTAGAAAGTGTAAAGGCAGAAAAGCAGATGCAACACTTATCAGTAGAAGTATTCTAGTGACAACAACTAGTCAACTGGCCTGGTAGAAAGTGTAAAGGCAGAAAAGCAGATGCAACACTTATCAGTCATTTCCTGAAAGAGAACAATTTTTGTTTGAAATGATGGCCATGAGTCGTCATAAAACAGGTAGATTATGTTCAAAATGTGCTGTTTAGGCAATCAAGGAAGTGCATAAAGCATTTTAGAAAGATTTCTTTAAAAAATAACTTAAATAAAAATAATTTGGTGACTAAAACAGTTTCATTTATGTAGAATAGCAGTTCTGAAACTTTTTGATCTCAGGACCCCTTTATATTCTTAAAAATCATTGAAAAGATTCCTCCCTCCCCACAAAAAGTGTTTGTTTATGTGGGTTCTATCTATTGATCTTAGCTGTATTAGAAATTAAGACCTCTTAGTATTATTATCTTAGGTTACCAAAAGTCAGATAGACTGAAACACCGAACAACAAGCATTATTATGAAAATTTTTAACATCATGGACCTTCTGAAAGGGTCTTGGGAACCCCCAGGGACCCCTGTACCATACTCTGAAAGCCACTGATGTAGAAGACTAGCTTTTGTAGAAGCCCTCAATCTCCAACAGATGACAAATAAATGCTGTTGTACTGTTAAAATAATTACATTTATTTCTTTAAGTTGTTTGTCTACGTACTCAGACTTCTTTTCACAGGTCTTAGAAGATTCTTCAATACTCTTTTCTAGTTCCAGGACAACTTCCTCCTTGTTTAAAAGCATCTGCTGTGTTTGGATCAATTCTTCTTCTACAGTTTTCAACCTAGAATGAATATATGCTATCCAATCAATTAATGCATGGACTTTATACATAATGTACAAGGATAAACAATATGTAGATAGATATTCTCAAATATTTGAATGTGTAGCAGGTAATTTCTATTTCTTAGTCTCTGAATATACCCAATTTTCCTTTTCTAAATAAATTTTTATAGACACTTAGACATAAGATAAATATAATAAGAAAAATCTATGGTAGCAAAAAATTATTTCTATTAATTAAAAAATTTATATTACCAAATTCGAAAATACCACCATTGGTAGGGTTGAAATTTTTGTTTTGAATCTTCTGTAGCATAGTATTAAAGAACACTAACTTCTATATACTTTGAAGGCCTGGTAGATGAGTGAAGTCTGGGAAAGGGGCATAGGCTATACAGCAGTGCCCAGGATAAGTTAAGGAACACCGAACTAGTCTCTGCTCAAAATCTCGTTATGTATTCCACCAACAGGAGATTAATTTTGATTAATCAGTTCCTCCAGTTTGAATACTCCAAGAGCACCACAGAGAAGGGTAGAAAAGAGGAAGAAAAAGAAATGGGTTAGCTGCCTCTCATGGGGAAAAAAACAGTTAAAATCTATTTTCAGTGCTTCCTTCATATTCATCTTCATTCTGAGAATTCTGGTTTATTTGCTCTAGGGAACCTCTAGAACTTCCCAATATGTGTTGGGCTTTTACTATAATTACTGAACACAGTAATCTACATTCCCATAGATGTTCAATAAATGTTGACAAACCTCTGAGAAGAAATGCTTACCCAAATTTATTGGTCAGTATCATACATTCAGAATTTATAAAATCTGTATATCTATATAGCTCTTCATATTTTTACTATTGTTTACTCCCTACAACAATACTATACAGAAATACCACTTTGGTACAATTTTAACTTGTTACAATAATTTTATAGTCAACACTTAAGATGCTTAATGGTTTCCTTTTGCTTCTAGGGTAAAATACAAACTCTTCTGTTTGGAATTTGAAGTCCTTTACAATCTAGCTTCGAACCTGTCTTTCTAGACTGCTTACACATTAAAGTCCCTGAAGTATACTCTGATACAGGCAAACTGGCTTACTTGTTAGTTCCCACTGTGGGGACCATATTTTCTACCAAGTCTGGAATGCTCTCCTTCCTCATCTACCCACCCTGGAACCCTGGTCCTTTCAAGGGTCAGATCAACTGCTGCTTCCTGCAAGTGACCTTTCTTGATTCTCCCAACTATTAATGCCATCCTCAACCAGCAATGCTGTCCACAACAAAAATTGTTTTCCATTTATTTTATAATTACTTATCTGTGTACATGTTTTTAGTGCTCTTATGTTCCATTTGCTTCTCTTTGGAGTATCTGAATTGGTAGATTCATACAGACAATTTTCTCCTTTTTAGCTTAAATCTCTGTTGATCTCAGTCAACTTCTGACTTTTGAGATTTCACCACCTTACCCCTCCCATACACCATCTCCCCTCCCCATCGACCCAGCTTTTCAGCTCCCTTTTATTTGTTGCTGACCCCTATTAAAATGTAAACTCCTTGAGGGCAGGGACAATTTTTCTTTTTGCTTTTTTAGAAACCCCAGCACTCTGCCCAGTGCCTAGTACATAGTAACTCTGTTTAACTGACTTGCCTTGCCCTCATTCTACTTAGTCCAAGAGTACAAAACAAAGACTAAAACTAAACAGTCCCTGTGATCAGAAGCTTACCTTCTAATAGAAGGAAACAACACCTATACATATAAGCAAATACAAGATAAATACAAAGTAATGGGAGCAGGGAAGCCTGGAAGAGAGGTAAGGTATCCAAAAGGGGAAGTGAGAAGGTAAAGCATTTTGGGTCCAGGGGATAGAACGTCCAAGGCACAGATGCAGGAGACAGGATGGTGTCTACAGGGAACAGTCTCAGTCTGGCCAGGTCTGAGAATGCACAAAGAGGAGTAATGTACAAACAGTATAGAAAGATAAACTGTGAAGGGTTTTTGAATACCAAAGCAGAAGAGTTTGCGTTGTATCCTAGAGGCAATCAAGAGCCTCTGAAGCTGCTTCTCCAGCAGCGTAATGATACGGTCCAATCTGGGCTTTAGGAATATCAATTTAGCAGCTATGAGGGGAATTGGGGTTAAAAGAGGAGGAGGCAAGGAATTGTCTTTTGCAATAGTCCAGGAGAGAGGTGATAAGAACCTGAACTAAAGGGGCTATAGTGTAAGTACACAGAAGGGGAGGCTATGAGAGATGTTGTGGAGCTAAAATCTCTAAGGCTGTGTAACTGATTGGCCAGAGGGAGAGTCAGAGGGAAGAAAAGGAAGAACTTGAGGCTGCCTGCTCAGTTGCAAATTGGAGAACGGTTGTTTTGTTCAGTGGTGTCCAACTCTTCGTGACCCCATTTGGGGTTTTCTTGGCAAAGCTGATGGAGTGGTTTGCCATTTCCACCTCCAACTCATTTTACAGATGAGGAAACTAAGGCTAACAAGGTTAAGTGACTTGCACAGGGTCACACAGCTAGTAAGTGTCTGAGGCTGGATCTGAAGTCAGGTTCTCCTGACTCTGGGTCCGGAACTCTATCCGCTGGGCCACATAGTTGGAAGAATGGCAGTACTCTCAAAACAGAAATAAGGAAGTCAGGAGGAGGGTGGGTTTAGGAAGAAAATAAATTCCCAAGGTATTATGATAGAATGTTACAGTTAGAAAGGATATTCGGGATCATCTCATTTAACTTTCATTTATAAAGAAAGAAAGTGACACCCTAGAAAGGGAAACAATGACAGAGCCATTAAGAAAGGGTAAATTTAAATCTCACATTATTTGAAGGCTGAGTTGAAATGGAACCCCATTCTCATAAACTCATGCATTTCAGAGTTAGAAGGGGCCTTAGGGGGCACTTTTCCCACCCACTTTATTTTACAGAGAAAGAAACAAGTGTCCAGATTCGGGACAGAGTCGAGACCAGAGTCCAGGTCTCTTGATGCCCAAGAGTCTTTCCTCCAAGCTGCTGAAGTTTCATCTTCCACGACTCAGCTGAGGCTACCCTTCCCAGGACCACTACTAAGAATCAGCATCAGCCACCTGGCCTCCCTCCACCACCAGGACAGAGCTCAGATCTTCACAGCTACAAACTTCATCCTTCCCTTCTACCTCCAGAGAAGGGCCACAGGTCTCCCCATCCCATCACAGTCCTGGAATCTACTATAGCTACTATGTCCCCTGCAGCCTTATACCTTATAGATGTAAAAATGCTTAATAAGTTTTTTAAATTGACTTATTGAATGCTGTTAATGTCCTTTAAAATTTTCAACCTAGAGTAAAGCCCAGTCCTAACTACAACTCTGATCACATCATTATTTTTTTTATGAGATTTAGGGACACAGAGGAGAAACTGCATATGCACCATGATACATGAGACTGGTTACATCATGTTTACTTTGTAGTCACTTATCTCCTCTGAGAAAAAAATACAATAAGTCAATAATGTTATGTGTCCCTCATTAACTAGAAGAGTTATAGTTAAAATTTTCTTTTGTCCTTTACAAGATTACTTCCAAGAAGATAAGTAAATTAGAAAGTATAAAATTATTAGCTACCAGAGAGGAAGAAGTATACAGAACATAGGCCAGAGGTGGACAAACATACACTTAATATGTAACTTGTTGATTTCACTTTATTTGAAATTGGAAACTTCAAATATCATCTTTAGAAAAAGTAAAGAATTCAATAATCAGTTGTTAATATACTTAAATAACTCCTTCACATATTACATTTGACAAAATCAAATGTGGATAATACAGTGTGTCTGAATCAGAAGCTAAGATTGGATCGTTAGGAAAGGCAGATTTCAGGGCTCTGAAAGAAAACCAGAAGAAAAAGTCACAACGCAGACCCAAGGGGAACATCATGAACATTACAAAGGGAGCGAAAGACTTCCAGTAACCAAGAGCTGCAACACTGGGAACTGCTGAAGGTCAGAACGTCTTCAGCTTTTAATCAGGATCAGCAATAGTGTCAGAGTTGAGACACATCAAGGCTAAGGGAGACACATGGAGGGAAGGCCGCTTCAGTCCTCTGTCAGGTCTCAGAACCCGACAAAGACCTACATCAAAAGGGAGAGCTCCATGAAGGGAGAAATGGATTTCCAGTAACCAAGAGATTTCTGTTGGGTCTCAGCTCTACCACCAAGCTGCAGCTCCCAAGACAAACTGATCACTAGGAATCTCATCATGCTATTTAACCCAGTCTTGGATATGCGCAGCCCCTAGCCTCCTCTCCCCTTTGATTGCAAGGCCAGAGAAGAGGAGCACTAAAGTCCACCCAAAGCTTTCCTTTATAGAGGGCAGAACCTGGACTTTGAAGCTCCCTTCACTTCCCATCTGCACCTCTGCTAACTCTCAGCTCCATGAATCCCCCCAGGTATCCTTCTCCCTTTCTCCCCCCACTTTCCAGCTTCTTTTTGTATGCTGTCTTCCCATTAGACTACAAACTCCTTGAGAGCAGGGACTGTCTTTTTTTGATTTGTATCCACAGTGCCTGGAACATGATGTGGATCACAACAAAATGTGATGAGTCCTCAGGACCTTCTCACTTGTCTCTTGAGGAACCTGTATGCAGGCCAAGAAGCAACAGTTAGAACCAAACATGGAATAGTTTAAGTTTAATAAGTTTAAGATTGGAAATGGAGTACAACAAGCCTATATATTGTCACCTTATTTATTTAACTTATATGCAGACTACATCATGCAAAATGCCAGGCTGCATGAATCAGAAGCTAGAATTAAGGTTGCCTAGGAAAATATCAACAATCTTAAAGTATGCAGATGATGCCACTCTGATGACACAAAGTGAAGAGGAATTAAGAAGCCTCTTAATGAGAATGAAAGAGGAGAGTGTAAAAATTAGCTTGTAGCTTAACATAAAAAAAAAACAAAAACCTTAGATCCTGGCAACTGGTCCCATCACTTCCTAGTAAAAGAGGGAGAAGAAATGGAAGTAGTGTCAGATTTTATATTCTTAGGCTCAAAGATCACTGCAGATAGTGACTGCAGTAATGAAATTAAAAGATGCTTGCTCCTTGGAAGGAAAGCTATGGCAAATCTGGACAGCATGCTATAAAGCAGAGACATCACCTTGCTGACAAAGGGTCCATACAGTCAAAGCTATAGTTTTTCCAGTAGCAATGTAAGGCTGCGAGAGTTAGACTATAAGGAAAACTGAGTGCCACAGAATCAACACCTTTGAACTGTGGTGCTGCAGAAGACTTCTGAGACTCCCTTGCACAGCAAAAAGGTCAGATCAGTCAATATTTAAAGAAATTAATTCAGGCTATTCATTAGAAGGTCAAATACTGAAGCTGAAGCTTAAAACTTTGGCCACATAATGAGAGGACAGGACTTATTAGAAAAGACCCTGAGGCTGGGAAAAATTGAAGGCAAAAGAAAAAGGAGATAGCAGAGGATGAGATGGATAGATATTATCATGTAAACAACAAATGTGAACTTGGACTTCAAGAGATAGTAGAGGATAAAAGGGCCTGGTACGCTATGGTCCATGGGGTCACATAGAGTCAGACACGACTGAACAACAACAAATGTTTGCCGAATTGAAGAAAGTGCACTGTGCTTAGTTAGTGGACCTGGGTTCAAAACCTGACACTAATACCTGTGAGACCTTGGGCAAGTCATTTGACCTTTCTGGGCCTTAGTCCCTCATCTGATCTAAGGATTAATGGAAGAAAACATAAGTATCATTAACAAGATGGTTAATTACTCTCTGCTGAGAAGAACTAGGATAGCCATCTTTTGACCTGAGACCTGATAACAATAGAAGTCTACTGTCTTTTTGTGGTATCTATACAAAACACAATAAAGAATTTCAAAAGACTTGTTCAAATTGATAACTACCATTAAATTTTTGTGATTTCCAGCAGAATGCAAATTCCTTAACATCAAAGATTGTCTCAATTCTTTTTGCATCCTCAGCTCACAGCACAATTCCTTACAGTTTCTGCCTACTATAACAGCATTTAATAAATGACTATTGATTGGTTAATTTAAAGGAGAAGAAGTGATACTGTCAGAAGAAAACTTAGAAACAATTTCTGAAGATTAGAAAGGCTTGGTCAAAAAAAATGAAGATCACAGGGCCAAAGAATGGTTATAAAGATGTTTGAGACTGATACTTGGATTTCTGGACTATAGCTTAAAATATGGAATGATAGGATTCTTCGGAAGATAGAATTCACCTAATAAAGGCTGCTCAAGATGCAGTTGCCTGTTATTTTGAAAATCTAAAGAAAAGAGATTTAAACTATAAAGTATGGAGGAAAGAAATTGCCCAAGTATATCTACCAAGAGAGAAACTACAGTGAAGGAAAAGCAATAGTTCAAACACAAAGAAGTTCACAGGACACAAAAATCCAAGAAAGCAATCACTGATAAAACCCATGATCTCTAATATCTGTACAAAAAAATACCCAAAGGTTGCAGCAATCAAGATGAACTAGAGGGTCATGAATGAGATGAACATCAGCTTAATTACTATACCTTGGGCCACTTCCAAACTGTCCTGATCCTCCCTGCTGCTCTCCTTTACCAAATTATCTTGGATTTATTTTGTACATGTTTTATATATATATATATATATATATTTATGTGTACACACATTGTCTCCCCTAAAAGAATGTAAGCTCCTTAACGCTAGTGTTTGGCAAATAATGAGTGCTCATTGATTGGGTGCTTGAAGGAAGTGGGGATAATCAGCGTAGGGATAATCAGCATGAAGAAGAGAAGGTCTCTGGGGAATGTAGTAGGTGTCTTAGACTTATCCCATATGGCCCCAAAGTTCACAGCTAGAAGTAGTGGGTAGAAGTTACAAAAGGGCGACTTTAGGCTTGATATCAGTCAGTCCACCAACCAACAAGTATTTATTAAGCACCTACTATGTCCCAGGCACTGTGGTAGGTGCTGGGAATACAAGTACAAAGAATGAAACGATTCATATAAAATTACATGCAATATAAATAAAGACAAATATTTAGAAAGTACTTAAATACAGTTCTCTCTTCCACAATGCAACTTTCCCCACTGAGGTTTTCATTTACCGTAGGTTGGCATAAGAAATTAAATGGGAATTTTGAGAGAGTTTTGTGGAAGCCACAGATGACACACAAAGGCCATCAGAGAACACAGAGCCTTTGACCAAACACTTAACCCAAATTTTGCAAAAGGATAACTGCAAACACCCCATAAAAGAAAAAAAAATTTAGACTTCATCTCTGGTACAAAGGAGGACCAAATATTTTTACCTGGACATTTCATATTGCCAGGGCATTGTGCCCCTAGCCCTCCCTGCCTCCCACAACGTGGAAGGGATAACTGCATAGATTGATCCTCAACTTGCATAAATTATTATGCCAAAACCTTTCAATTCATCCAGCTCTATTTGGCCAGGCCAAAAGAAATCCCACCCATTTCTAGGAGCCAGCCATAGGGTTTTATAACCACTGCACCTAGAATGAGCAATCAACAAGAAACTACCATGTGACAAGCACTAGGGGAAAAAATGAGTTTACATTCTACTGGAGGAGACAGAATGTATTGATGTTAGTACGTGCAAAATATATACAAAATAAATACAAGTTAGTTGCGGGTATGAGGGTGGGGAGGAACTAGCATCGGGAAGAATCAGCAATGGTATCATGCAGAAGTTGTAATTTTAGTTTGGTTCTAAGAAAACTAAGGATGCCGAGAACAAAAGAAGAAGGAATGTATCCCAATTATGGAGACTGGCATTTATTTTCTTTCTTCCTTTCTTCTTTCCATCTTTCCACATGGGGTATTACACCCTTAACTGTTGGTGCTCTGCCCAAAGGGAATGTAAATTTAATCTCTGAAACTTTTTTTTGGTTTATTTTTTCTCTTAAAGACCAGCCTTAACCCCAGATCACCATGGTTCTCATTGATTGGCCAGCAACAGCCTGGCCAAGCCCTACTTGGTCATTGTTTGGGCCCTGAGTGGCTCAGAATGAATGTAAATAACAACTGTTTCTGTTTGGACACGAAACCCAGAGGGTCTTTCCTTCCCAGATCTAATTTTTTTAAGAGGCCATTCTCAGCCTCATTTTTGTTAAGCCTTAATCACTGAATGGGTGTTGCTTCAGTCAAACTGAGACCTGTTAAAGACACTAGCTTGAAAAGTCCAAGGTCTCTGACTGCAACCTGGGCCACTGCCAGTTGTCCTGATCCATTTCTGGCCACTAGACCCAGATGGCTCTGGAGGAGAAAGTGAGGCTGGTGACTTTGCACAGCCCTCCCTCATTTAAATCCAATTCCCTTCCAAGTCATGGCATCACCTCCCTGATGTCATGGTCCTCTTCAAGAAGGACAAACAGCAGTCTTTACAAAAGTAAAGGCGAAGAGACAAGGCGAAGTGTCAGGGCAGCAAAAACAAAGGAAATTCTTTAATTCTATCAGATAGAGACAAAGTAAATAAATAATAATCAAACTCGACCTTCTGAAGTAAGAGTATACAGATGAGCCCTAAGAAAAATTTCAAGCTTAAAGAAATAACATATAAAGATGAGAACAGGTTCATTAGCAGCAATGGTACAATAAAGGGATGGATCCATATATTTATCCATGAACTTTCTTTATAATGTGTATAATCAATCAAAAGATTGGCTAAACAATTTTTTAAAAGAGCCAGTATTCTGTATTCCAAATATGAATGTTAATTATTAAGTGCTTGGTGAAAGAAAGCACTGATAGCACATTAAGGTCCCCATTGTTTCTGTTATCTCAGTAAGCACAAGTGAAATGTCTGGAATTCATTCTCATCTTACCTTCACTTTGGAGAATCCCTAGCTTCTTCCAAAGCACAGTTTAGTTGCCACTTCTTCCATGAGGGTTCTCCTGATTCCCTAAGCCTTCAACATACTCTCTCCCTTGAAATTACTTTATATTTATTTCTGTGTTAATTTTATACACTTTATATTTACTTATACCTCCCTCAAAAAGACATAAGCTCCTTGGGGGTGGAAGTATTTTCCTTTTTTCTTTTGGCTTCATTTCCCCCAAGATCTAACGTGGTTACCTGCACCTATCACATTCATAATCAACATTTGTTAAGCTAAATTGAATTTACTAGAACCTCTTAAGTTTAAAGAAACCTGAAATCACACAACTTAGTAAATCTGATTTGAAAGAAAATATGAGACAGAATTCTGTAACAGAAGGAGCATTTAATCAAGAGTCAGAAGACGTGAGTTATAGTCCCAGCTCAGCTCTAGTTAGCTATGTGAACACTGATAAAATCATACCACCGCTCTGAGCTCATTTTTCTCATCTATAAAATGAAGGAGTTATACTGGCAATCTCAGAGTCTCCTAACACCTCACCTAATGTCCATCTAGAAAATAGTGATAATAATCCCTTGCCCCAGAGAACTGTTTTGGAAGACAAATGTAACAATACAGGTAAAAAAATTTAAGACCAGCATATTCCTTTTCTTCATTTAAAAAATAAAATTTCGAAACATAAAATTCTTCCTCGAATAAAGGCAGACTACTGACCTAAAGAATATCAGAAAAAAACCAAAATTGACTACTAAAATTATTGTTATATAAGTAAAATATGTGTTAAATAGAAGAATGGATATAGGAGTAAGATAATTGTATATTTTACAGCATATTATGTAAAAATAAGCATTTAAAATTTAGTAAACCACTTAAATCTAACATATAAATTAAGACTATCCTATTAATCTATGAATAGTTTGAATTTTCTACTTACATTATTTGCAAACTCTCTGCTGTTAAATTATTCCACATGATCTCATTAGCCTGAAGACTTTCATTTTCTTCAAGTAAAGAAGCATCAAACTCAATTTCTTGTTCCTCAATAGCTGGTGATCTGGTAAAACACGGAAAATAGTTGTGATTCAGATTACATGTACCATTCATTATATACCAAGGACATATATACATCATGGTATGACAACTAGAAGTAATCACAGAGGCAACTTGTCCAAACCTCTCATTTTACAAATGAGGAAAGTGATGCTGAGATAGTAAGTGATTTGCCCACCCATAGAGGTGATAGTTGAACTCAGGTCCTTGGATGCCAAATCCATTGTGCACTTTTCCACCACAGCTTGCATGGACAAATTCTTGGGACAGATCAAGAGTATATTTGCTCTATTCAAAGATGATACTAATAAAAATATATATTTTATTATACTAGATAAGTTTACACACAAATAACTAAGAACAAATTAAACCATTCTATTTACTTCCTTCTGAAGAAGCTAAAGACATAAATTGTGAAAGAGAAGATATATTTTCATGTATAAAGGCAAAGTATTGCTCTAAATGATGTTATGGTAAAAACTGAAAATGCATTACTTCAAAATGACTAACAGCAATTATATATTTGAAATATGTATATGTAATCGCTAGCATTCTCTCCCTTCTCAAGTTACCTGTTGTCTACTTATACATGTACATGTTATACACTTGTCTTCATACTCTCAAAGTCTAGCACAGTGCCTTGTACATAGTATGCATGTTAGCTGAACTGAATTGCTTTGAGATTAAAAATGACTTTCAAAATAATTAAAAGTCAATAATTAAAATAATTTTTTTGCCTTACATTGCTTTTACATTTGTTCAACTATATTTCAAAGTTTTGACATAAATGCTGAAAGTAGAATAAAAATCTCATACCTGTAAACATCTATGAAATTGTTGTATTCCGTGCTAGGATCAATCTGTTCAACTGATGTCTGAATCTCTTTATGGACATTAACTATCTCCTCTGTAACAAGACTGGTAATCTGGCTGTATTCATCAAATATGCTTTTTCTAAGAACAAAAATATAAATTATCAACATTTTTTAGTTTTGAAAGAGACTGAAATGAAAGCAGAATAACAAATATTAAATTTACTATACCAGTTGTATCTCAAAGACTGTTTATGAAACTCATTTCAAATACCTGAAGAAGCAAGTAAAGGATTTTATAATGGAAAAGAATAAAATAGACTTTGAAATCTTCAGCCAATGACATGAAAATGGTTGAAAATAACTACAGTTTATAGATGTAAGTTAACAAAAGGAAAAAATATGATTGACTAGAATAGTCAGAGGAGGCCTTAAAGAGTAGACTTAGAGAAGAAAGGAAGGGTTTAACAGGCAATAGAAAGAGCAAAGATAAAAATTTGAGAATAATGTGCAGAACATTTGGAAGACAGTGAGGAAATTGATTTAGACTTACACAGAATAGTAGACTTACTAAGTAGAATATTTATTAATAGCAGACTTACTTAAGTAGAATAATAGACTTAGTAGAATAGGGTATGCCTGTTGGAGAATAGTGAGAAATGAGATTATACAAGATCAGATGTAGCTTTCCCTTACTACTGTAGAATATGAAGAGTTTATAAGCCTAGGGATAGTGAAACAATGGTGGGAGAAGTGAAAGTATTAGTAGGGGAAACCTGTTTACTTATTCATTTAATTTTAAATTATATGGTAACAGGACACTGAAGAGGAGATATCCTATAGGCAGCAGGAAATGTGAAATCAGAAAGTGCCTACATGACTAAGGCTTAGTGCATTGAAGAATGGGATGCAGCATGCTCTAAGAAAAGTAAGGAATACTGGCTTGTGAGTCAAGAGGCCTCAGTTCTAAAACTGGCTCTGCCACCAGCCATTTGTGTAATCTTAGGCAAATCATTTCACCTCCCTAGCATTCGGTTTTTTCATCTTTAAAATTAAGGGCTTAGACTATATTCTTCACCCTTCTTGGGTCATGGACTCACTGTTTTGGCTGACTGATAAAGCTTATGTACCCCATCTCAGAAGAATGTTTTTATATTCCTAAAACAAAATACATAGGACTATGAAGGAAATTGATTATAATGAAATAGTTATCCAAAAAATTTGTAAGTATATGGGCCAAGTTAGGAACATGTGGACAAGATGAGTCTAAGATCTCTTTTAATTTTATGTCTCTATAGCATTCTATTATTATCCTGTGATCCTCAGTGGTTTTATGTAAATAAATCAACTAATACTTTAATTGAGAAAATGAAAATCATACTAGGATTTGGAATCAGAGGACCTGGGTTCAAATGCTGCTCTCCTACTTATTACACCACTATTTCATGGGCTAGGTGTTTCTATTTTATTTATTTTATTTTAATAATAATTAAATTTATTAGAGTGTTTTCCCCCCACTATTTTCTAGTTTGTGCTTTTTACATTCTACTATGTGCTATGTTACTCAGCAACTTTCTAATGGGAAAGCCCTAGAAACTAGAATTTCTGATATCCTATAATTCAAATAATCAACTGATTATTCACCAAAATTATTAATTATTAAATATTATATAACTTTTATGTATATTTATAATTATTTATAGCATATGAACATAATATGTAATATGTGCTAATATATAATATTATAGTTATAAATGATACAATTATAATTAAATACTATTATGACTAAATAATAGTATAATTATAAATAAATAATATTATTATGTCAAAATTAACTAGAGCTTCCAGTAGGTTTCTTAGAGCAGAGGTATCATAGTCTCTACCAAGGAGGAAATGTTCACCAAAATAAATAAAAATACAATAAAACATAGATAATGTCAATTTGTGGTTTTATAAGTCAGTATGCTGCTTCAGGGATCCATTTCTATTTGAATTTGACACCATTGGTAATGTTTTGTGGGTGAAGAGTTTGTAAGTTTGTGGAAGAAGTCAGGAGGAACAAAAGACTTTTGGGGGGGCAATGGGGGTTAAGTGATTTGCCTAGGGTCACACAGCTAGTAAGTGTTATGTGTGTGAGGCCGGATTTGAACTCAGGTCTTCCTGAATCCAGGGATGGTGCTCTATCCACTTCGTCACCTAGCTGCCCCAAAAGACTTTCACAAACAAGAATGACTAGACTATGTAAATCCTTTCAATTATTTAAAAGTCTAAAGGTAAGAAATTAAGGGAAATAATTTTAAAAGTTTCTGGAAAAATATGTATTAAGCAACATACCAGAACTCTTGATTCATCAGGTACTCCATCATTCCCCCAACATACCAGATAATAAAGCTGTTACTATATATTACAATTAGTAAGTGAAACACACATTATATTATATTTTAAAGTCACAGTAATCATTCACTAACCTGGGACTACATACAATTAAATTCAAAACTGTAAAACATATTTGAACATTCAGAAATAATAAAGCAACAGAAAATCCTCAGAAACTGAACTGTATTAATCACCAACTTTTACCATCAAAAACCACAAGAGAAGAGGTACACAATCTGCCTGAGATGTACACCTACATATATTTTGCATATTTTCAGTGTCAAAAAATAAAACACAGATTACAGAAGAAGTGTAAAAGCAAATTGCTTAATTTATCCATAGTTTTTAAGTAAGTGTCAATAAAGATCTGTCTGCATAGGTGGCTGAAATACTAAAATCACAATATATTGAAATATCTTTGAAAGATTTTCTGCAGTGTCCAGAGATTATAACCCTGAACAGTCAGAAGGGCTACCAGATATTCTAGAATATTTAGAACATCCTCACAAATGTCTAAACAACCAACACATGTAAAGGCTTTAAGGCACCAGCCTGTGAGGAACAAGATAGCACAGCACGCATAACTTCATGTGAATGCCACTCTAATAACATATTTTTCAGAATTCCTTAACCTGCTTTAATTCTGGCTGTGTGGGTTTCAGCCATGGAATCACTCCTAGGTTCATTCAAATCTAGTCCTGACAATGGAGGCTTACATAATCATAGGCTTGTTATAAAAGGTGGGCTAAGTTAATTCTAAAGGAATCTTCAGATTCATAACAGCCTTTGCATTAGTGAGAGGCATGGTGGAGAAAAGAGCAAAAGAAGGGTAAGGAATAGAACACATCAGAATTACAGAACTAGATAGGAATTCCAAAGGAAAGTTTCTCAGAAATAATTTAGGCTACCCTGGGCTCTTAGATGCAGCATAAGATAATGACTCCAAGGCCAGCTTTCTGGCCTTAGAATCAGGAACACCTGGTACATATACTACCTGCATGATCTGCAGCAAGTCACATAAGATCTCAGTGTCCCAAGCAACTATATGTAATTAATTGATGTAATCACAGAAAGTAAAAGTTAAGAGAGGTAATAAGATATTATGTGAATAAAATACAAAGACTTGTCTAAACCTAATCATTCCTTTACAAAGTGTAAAAAAGTATTTTGAACTGGAGGGAGAACTCAGCATTGGCTAATTGACAACTGACCAAACTCCAGCTGGCCTTTAAAAGAAAAGCCTAGAAAGAGAGAGTTTGAAGTGCAATTAAGATGTATCTAGGAAGGAGCAAAGAAACATACTTTCTAGGGAGGCATAGGCAGAAAAGAGCAGCATTCTATTCAAGAAGCAATTTCAAGGAACAAGACTTCTGGCAACAAAGAAGATAACCAACTATAGATTTTAAGACATAATTAGCCTTGAGAGTTGAGCTGCAGTAAGGAAGATCCAGATGAACATTCACAAATAGAACAAGAACACTGGATCTCTGTAACACTCAAAGAATAAGTTGTCTTGGTCACATGCATTCCCTACATTTATGCCTCTCTATGAGAATACCCTTAAGTTTATTCTCATTCATCACACAGATGTATATATTTGTGGAAGAGTGTATACTAGGTTTATGGGGGGGGAAGTGTTTTGTGACTACTAGTTGACTATGCCATCTTAGTAAATGCCTTTGCTTGAAGGTAATTACATCCACTGGTTGACTGTTAAACATAATCTCACTGGTGGAGGCTAATGAGTTATAGTTTCAGCGACCTTGGAATCTACTAGAGTAGTCACTCTACTCAAGGACCTAACCTGAAAACCCATGACACAGATCGTCCAGTGAAGTTAATACATAAGAGTACATTGGGTTCTTAGAATTTTATAATTGCAAATGTCATCTTCCCTCTGGGGAATACAAATGAATCAATATTGCTTGCTACAGAATATATACATGTGTACATATATTTATATGTAGCAGTATGTAGTAATTCTTTTTCTTCATCTTGACAGGATCTTTGTGCGTTGGAAAGTTATTTCTGACCTCCTATGGAATCTTAATTAGCATTCAGAGACAGACTTCCAAGTGAAAAAACCATTAGGACTCATATAAATGCTTTAATTTTCATCTCTCAGCTCCAGGCATTTTTTCTTGTTGTCCTCCACATGTGCAACGCTCTTCTTCCTCTGTTTCAACTACTGACCTCCATAGCTTTGTTTAAGTACCCACCTTGTACAGGAAGACTTCCCCAATTACTCTCAATTCTACTGCCTACCTTCTGTTATCTCCCATTTATCCTATATATAGACAGCTTTGTATATATCTGTGTGCATGTTGTCTCCCCCATTAGATAGTCAACTCCTTGAGGGCACAGACTGCCTCTTTTTATAACCCCAATGCTTAGCAACAGTCCCTGATGTACTTAATAAATGTCTAATTGATTAGTTAATCAGAGATACAAGGCTGTATTTCTGATACTTCTCACAAATTTGCTGGGAAGACTGATGCCTGTGTCATTTAACTCTCTCTTTCATTCTCTCTCTCTTCATATTTTATTTTATACCTATCCCTTAGCCTCCCAGTGCAGAATGTAAGCTTCTTGGGAGCAAAGACTCTCTTGCATCCTCAGGACCAAGCAGAGAGAGCAGAATATAGTAGTCAACTGAACAAGGCATGAGGTGTTTTTTATTACTTTGATTAGTTGGCAAAATTATTCAAAGAAAAGGAAGGCTGAGGGCAGCATTTTTAGTGGAAAAAAATAATATCACTAAACTAGAATTGACGTTAGTTATCTGGGTTTAGTCCCATTAATTAACTGTCTGACCTTTAGAAAGTCACTTCAACTCTCTGGGTCTCAATTTCCTCATCTGTAAAATGAGAGATGTGGTTGAAATGATATCTAAGTTGCCTTCCAGCTCTGATATTCTGTGATTATAAATCACAGATGGATGTGGGACCTAACAGCGGACGACAAAGGAGTCTTCGGTTCTTGGTTTTGAAAACCCTTTTTCTCTATTGATTGTCTCCACCACCACCATGCCCCTTCTTCCCACAGAATTTAAGCTCCTAGAGGTCAGGAGCTTTTTGTTTTTGTCTAAATATTTTCAATTCTTACCACATAATAAATGCTTAAGAAATGGTTGCCAAATTGATGCATGAATTAATAACAGCTTCCAAAGTACCCTTTAGCAAAGACCCAACATATCAGAAAACCACTTGCCAATTGCCCCAAACAAAGTCCTTTCACCAGGCAAGCCAAGTCACATGACCCCTTTGCTCTAAGGATATCATAGAATGGAAGTGAGCTAGTACAGGTATATTGACCGGATGACAAGTTAGGGTATCATAGGGTGAAGGCTGAAGAACTGGGTACATGAAACAAATAAGCAAAGACCCACACAACAGAGAGGGTTTCTCTCTCCCTTCTTTCTTATATTCATTCAAATAAGTGTTATACACACCATATGTGCAAGGCACAATGCTAAATACTAAAAGAAATACAAAAGCAAGATATAGTTATATCCCACAAGGAGTTCACGAACTAGCATAAGATATTTATGTGTTCCTTCTCTTTGTATTATCTTCTCTCTTGCTCTCCATATAGCAATATAAATATCCAGAATTCATCAATCCCTCAATGGGGACAGGGAAGTTTAAAAAACTAGAAGTTTAAAATACCCAAGAACATTTTTATGGTGAATATTTTACAGTTTTGATGAAGATGTTCAAAGCATAAAAGCTTACCTGGACTTGTTCTGACAATGACTTTGGTATTAGTTTGAATTCAAGAGTGAGTAAAATTTGCCTTTTTCCAATTTTAATTACTTCAGTCTCTGTATTGCCTTGCCCATAACAAAGATCTTTTCTTCATGGTAATGAGTAGAAGATTTTTTTTTTAACTGGACTTTTCACTGTTCTTCTAACTTCAAGGAGACTATTCTTCACTGCTGAGAAATCAATAACATTCTGTGGCTGCCAGATACCTTTAAAAATCTTTGCTTATTTCTGACTAGGCTATTTTGAAGGATTAACTTGCCAGTTCTTACTTTTGCTTTTCTTTGTTTTCATCCAAAATTTTCTTTTCCTTTTGGTGAGACTAATCTTTTTCCATAGTGGGCTTGAATGATCCCTGAAATGCTTTACCCATACCAGAAAGATCCTGCAGTATCTCTAAAAATCACTGATATGTTATTTAAGAGCGACAATATTTGCAGGTTTCCTTGGAATAATTTACATTGTTTTTAAATCACAAAATTAAAAGCACAACAAAAGAGCACAATGAAACATGCATGGCATAAAATCCAGCACTAAAAAAGGTGAGGAAACAGCTCAGTTTGGTCAATATCTGACTTTGCAAGTAAATGTAGTATCAGTAGAAGAAAATATGAATGACTATTGCTGTCACAAAATAAAACCATATCAAAATTACTGACTGTTTCAATTAATACAAACACCACTCTAGGACAGAGGTTTAGGGAATACCCAAACATAAGGGACAGGATGTGAATGATAATCTTGCAAAGGAGACCGAAAAGAACTAATGTAACAGATGGGAAGAGAACCACAATAAAGCACTATCAGGACAACCCAGAAAGGAATGACTATCCAGAAAATATTACTGGTCAAGACTGCCAAATGCTTACAGAAGGGTGGGGAAAGTTGTAGACTGAGAAAGACATTTTGATCTAGCAATTAAAAGATAACATGTCACACCTGAGAGAGCAGTTCCTATTGCGTTGTGTGAAAGAAGCCAGATTGCAAGGTGTTGAAGTGTGGGAGGTAAGAAAGTTGAGGTCAGTAGCGCAAACAGGTTTTTCTAGGAGTATGGCTGGGAAAAGAAGAAAGATAAGGGACAATATCTTAAGGGGATGGAATAGAATCAAGTGATGTTTTTTAAGGATGGTATGTTTGTGAGCAAGGAAGGAAGGAACCAGTGGATAAGGAAAGACTGAAAGTTGGTGAGGAGGATGGGGAATGACTGAAGTGATAAACTCCTGGAGCAACACGATGAGATGGGATTAAGGGCACAAGTAGAGCGGCTAGCAAATAGAAGGCTCAGTTCTTCTCTAGTAATACAGAGAGGAGAGAATGGGAGGAGAACATTAAGATGATTTGACATGCTGAATTGAGAAGAACTCTTGAAGGATGGCAATTGTTTCAGTGAAATATGAAGTGAGATCTTCTGCTAAGGAGGAAAAATGGGACAAAGTAAGTGGGTTAAGAAGAGAAGAGGTTTGATACAGATAGCAGGGAGAACTAAATAAGAAGCCAATCATAAAAGAGTAAAAACAACATTAAGGGCCCAGCTGAGATTAAAGAGCATAAATCTGTAGTAGTCTCAATGAGCAAAACGATATGACTTCCTCCATTAACATTAAGTAGCATGCAAGAAAAGGTATATGACTAACTATAGATAAGAAAGGAAAGACAGACCATAAGAATAACTGAACGTATAATATAATAATAAAAATTTTTGTATGATATGTATTAAAATATCAATGGGGATAGAAAATAGCAAAATTATGTTAGATCAATTCTGAACAAAAGGAAGTTTATCTTACAATGCGTTGATCATTTCTTCTTGCATTTTTTGTAATGAGTCCAGGAGTTGAGGAAGTGTGGTATCATAATACTGATGCTGATGAAGCTGTGCCCCTTTCAAAGCCAATACATATTGATTATGCAACACATGAAGTTTCATTGTAGCTTTGTCATAACGATCTTTTGCCTTCTCTGTTTCCTTCCCTGAAGAAGAATAGAGAAAGGTTAGCAAAATTAATTATCATATCATAAAAACATTTTATCATTACTTCATAATATCAATATCAAGTTATCATTCAGTATCATTTGATTTTTTCTATAAATCAATTAGCAACTGTTAATCAATAAGCGTGTACTCAGGCCTGTCCTAGATACTTTTGAGGAATAAGAAAATAAAATTTTAATTAATTAAAACCCCTTATCTGATGAGTATTTTCTTTGTCACCTTGAACAGGTCACTTAACCAACCTAAACCTTACTTTCTTAATCTGTAAAAAAATGAAAGGGTTAGACTAAATGGTCTCCTAATTCCCTTTTGGCACTAGGTCTATTATCCTTTAATCACTATCATCACCACCAGCAGCACCATCATTAAATAAGGTGACAATGACAACACTTAAAAGAATAAATAATGAGAATAAGATAGCAGGGATAATAAAAATAATACCTCATATTTATAAAGCACTTTAAGGCTTATGAAGTATTTAAGTGATTTGTTCATGATTACACACAGCTAGTCAGTCAGTATTGCAACTGAGATGTGAGCACAGAAATCATAATCAAGTACATTGTTCTTTCTTACAACCTGCCTTACTTACTGCCTTAAGATAAAGTACCTGCCCTGAAGCCTGAGAAAAAAAGTCACATGAAATGAAAGTAAATAATACAAAACAATACCTAATTAAATGCTGAATTATGTGGTACAGGCTGTAAAGGCTATAAAAGTATAAAGGAAAGAGTCAGATTAATAGTAACAGGAGTGGAAATCATACAATTTTAGCACTGGGAGAGACTCTAAAATTGTCTAGGCTAATACTCTCATCTTAGAGATGAAGAAACTAATGTGCAGGGAAGTTAAGCAACTTGTCAAGGCCTCACCAGCAATTTAGTGGAAGAGCTAGACAACAAAATTCTTACTCTGCTGTTCTTTCCATTACACCATGAACAGTTAAGAAAAGTCATCGTGAAGGATGTAGGATTTGATCTGGGCCTTTAAGAATGAGTTAAAAAAAATGGATAGGTGTTGGAGATGAATAGGAGCAAATTATATATGTGGGAGGAACAAGAACTGTAAAAACAGGAATAATTACAGTAAGTCTACAAGACAATATGGAAACCAGCTTAATGAAAATGAGGGCTGCCTGATACGGAATTGTAAGAAACTTAAAGAGTTGGATGTAGACAGATCATGGTGAGCCTTGAAAAAAACAGGAAGAGCAGTTTAGACTATCTACATCAGAAAACAGCCAAGGAGTAACACAGTAAAAAAAGAAATCATTATTTTAAAGTATGTGTAGTTCATTCACAATAGATTGTCACATCTGTTGAATGAATGATAAAAATCAATTATCAAGCATAATAAAAAACATTTTTGCTATGTTTTACTTGTTCTTTAATTAACAAACTTTTAAAAATTAATCTATCCCTATAACAACCACCCCTTGAGCAAATTTTAGAAAATTAAAATAAAAGCCTTAATACAAAGATGTGTAGTCCAGCAAAAGAAATTCTTCCACTTTCCACGTCCAAATTTGTATGGATCTTTTGTCATTTCAAGTTCACCACTTCCTGGTGGCATGTTTTGTCTTCATTCTTTTGGACTCCTGATTTATAATTAAATCATCAAAGTTCTAACATCCTTCAAATTGGCTTTTCTCTATAATGCTATTTATCTTTGTATAAATTATTCTCTGATTTCTTCTCAATTTGATCTGCATCAATTCATAAAAATCTTCCCATTTCCTTTGAAATTGTCTATTTCATAATTTCCTATGGTACATTATTCCATTACATTTACATTCAAAAAGAATGCCTACCTATTCCCCACCAGGAAGATACCCCCTTAGTTTACAATTCTGATTACTACACATATAGACTTCTCCTATTTCTCTTAATTAATTTGGGGTACAGGCCTTGTAGTGGTATAATTGGGTCAAAGGATATGCACAGTTTGTAACTTTCTGGGCAGAGTTCCAAATTGCTTTCCAGAATGGCTTGCTTCAAACTCATAGGTCCAACAACAGTGCTCTAGTAGCTATTTTCCCACAGCACCTTCAACATTTGCCATTTTCCTCTTTTATCATCTTTGCCAGGCTGACAGGTATGAGGTAGAACCTCTAAATTGCTTATTTTCTCTAATATTGATGGGGCAGCTAGGTGACACAATGGATAGAATACAGGGCCTAGAAGCCTCTTCCTGAATTCAAGTCTGGCCTCAGACACTCACTAGCTATGTGACTCTGAACAAGTCATTTAACCCTGTTTGCCTCAGTTACCTCACCTGTAAAATGAGCCAGAGAAAGATATAACAAACCACTCCAGTATCTTTGCCAAGAAAATCCCAAAGGGAGTCAGGAGGAGTCAGACAAAACTGAACAACAACAAATTATTAGTGATTTAGAGCATTTTTCATAAGAATGTTAATAGCTTGGATTTTATCCTTTGAAAACTGACTTTTCATGTCCTCCACTTATCTGCTGCAGAATGATTCTTATTTAAATTAGTTCCTATATAACTTGGATATAAAAGTTACTGAACAGACTGTTCCAAGCTACCTGTTTCCCTTCTGATTTTGACTAATTCATTTCGGATACAAAAACTTTTTAAAATTTTATACAATCAAAATTATCCACTTTATCTTCTGTGATCTTCTCTATCATTTGTTTAGTGATGAACTCTTCTCCTATACATAGATGAGAAAGGTAATTTCTCCCCTTGCTCCTATCATTTACTTATGAGAAGCTCTATATCTTGGTCACACATCCATTTAGAGCTGAACTTACTGTATAGTGTGAGGTGCTGGTCTATGCCTAATTACTTCACAACTACTGTCCAAATTTCACAGAAGTTTTTGTCAGTGAGTACTTACCATGGTAAGTGGGATTTGGGGATTAAATAAACATTACGCCACTGTTTTTATTTATCTGCATGTTGTGCATCTAATCTGTTCCACTGAACAACCCTTTTTTAAAAAAATCAGAACAAAAATGTTTGAAAAATTACTGCTTTGTAGTACAATTAGAGGTCTAGTACTAATCACTATTACTTTTGAGATTCCTGACCTTCTGCCTTCTGTTGCTCCAGATAAATTTAATTATTTTTTTCTAGCTCTATAAAATATTATTTTAGAAGCCTGATTACTAGAGAACTGAATAATTAGAATGATCATTTTAAGTATATTAGCTCAATTTACCAATCAATTACTGTTTCTCTATTATTGAAGTCTGTATTTCTTTAAAGAGTATTTATACTTAGATTCACCTAGTCCCTAGGTTAGATAAAACCTAATTGGGTCATAGGGTACAATTATTCTATTGTGTTGTAGCCATTTGCCACATTTTATGAAAATTTAGAGGCCAAAGTTCACAGATATTAAAGTTTTCTTTCTCTACCTTATCTCTCCCTAGTTTTCCTATAAAGACCACATTTGTACCACAGAAAGATTGGGTCACTTCTTTTATTGTCACTTCAAATACTTCATGTATATGTGAAATTAACTGTTCTTTGAAGGTTTTGTAGAGCTTATTTTTAAATCCATCTGGTCTGGAAGATTTTTTTCACCCAACCTGAAGTCAATTATGGCTTCCAGAAATCCTTTTTCTGATATTGGGCTATTTAAATACTCAATTTCTATATTTGTTAATGAGCCTTTTATATTTTTATAAATATCTATTCATTTCTTCTAAGTCATCAAAGTTCTTTTCATTTTTTTATATGAATAATATGGTTTTCCTCTTTTTAAAAAAGATGATTGTTCATCAACATTATTAGATCTGTTTAAAAATGGCTCATAGTTTATTTATAAATTCAATTATTCTATTAATGATTTTTATTTTTGTTGAAATTCTTTAACTGCATGATCATTCCACTGATTTGTTCTTTTTCTCGTCTGATAGTGAAAGGATTCAGAAATAAAAATGTTCCCCTCAGAACAGATTTATTTGTATTGAATGCATTATCATTTCCTTAATGAAATTTTCTGTTGTTTCTATAATCTGTTCTTTGACCCACCACTAGTTCCTCAGAATTATGTTATTTAACCTTCAATTAATTCTTAATTCTTTTTTTGTGGGCTTTTTGTTAAATATAATTTTACTTGCATTATAATTTGTAAATCATGTGCCGACTATTTCTGCTTTTCTGAATTCTTTGTTGAGGTCTTTTTGCCTCAGTTATTGTAAAGGTACTACGTACTGCCTAGTTGTATGTGTATTATTTTATATTCCTACTCAGTAATCACCAAAGATTTATCACTTCTAATTTTTCTAAAGTTCTATTCACATCTTAATTTCTTTCTTGCTTATTTTTTCAGGTAAATTTGTCTAGGTATATATGAATTTCTCTTGCATTATACTTTTACTATTTATTTCTCCCTCCAATTCTTTTAAGCTTCTTGTTTAAAAATTTACAGGCTATATTATTAGGTACGTGTATGTTAAGTATTGATATTCTGACCCATTGTATCAATTTTGCCTTTTAATAAAAAAGTCCTTAATATAATTTAATGCAATCTCCCTGCTTATCGTTTTATCTTATCTATATTTATTATAGCTCTACCTGAAATTATCATTGCTACTCATGTTTTTCTGAGTTCAGCTGAAGCATAGAAGATTTTACACCAGCTCTTCATTTATACTCTATGTGAATCTTTGTATTTCAAGTGTTTCTTTTAAACTTATTGTCAGATTCTATTTTCTAATGCATAATGCTATGTTCTTCCATCTTATGGATGAATTTATCCCATTCACCTTCACATTTATGTTGTTAATTGTATATATCTTTTCATTCTGCCATATTGTACTTTTCTTCTGTTTGTTTCCACCCCCTTCTTTTGCAAATAGGAAGAAGGTGGTATAACAAGGAAACTATCTAACAATGGTGATCTTCTAAGTCAAATAGCAAGTAACCTTTTCTGTAGCTCTTTTCCTCTCTTCACCAAGACAATGACCTCAGGTTTTGATTCTCTTCCTTCCCTTTTAATCCTC